TGGAATGTGGGGTACAATGGACAGGTGTCTCATTCAGACTGGAGAAATCTACGAGGTTAGAAAGGCTGGTTAAGTGGCCTGAGGCAACAAAGGAGAGGGTTGTGAGTGGGAAGTTCTGCTGTGGCCTGTGTACCTGATATAGATCGAGCAGGAGAACAAACTGTCCTGGAATCATCCTATCTTTTTTTTTTTTTTTTTAAGGTAGGGAGACATTTATCTAGAAGGCAGCAGGCTACCAAAAGTAGGACGACTCTGTGCAGATGCAGATAACTTGAAAATCAAAGGGAGGTCTTAAGGTGCCAGCTGGATGGAGAGATCCCCAGGGATGATGGGGAAAGAGATCTCTAAAGAACACATGAAGAGAAAATATCAACTCTGAACATCTCCTGTAACCAGAGAAAACACCACTATCTCACCAAGCTGCCCATTTGAATGAGTTTGCTGCTGCTTACCTTTCCTACTAGCTTTTCTTTTCCCTCTGTTAACCCTGGAGGAACTAAAAGCAGCCTAGAGAGTAGCAGGAAGGAGAAGAGAACAGGCAGAGGAAAGTGTATGCCTCCCTTTGCCACTAAATGCAATAGGACTGAAACATGCCTGATCTGGGGGAGTAGCTTCAATTTTAAATGAATTTACAAATTTTTGACTTTAACCAGACAGTCCCATGACTGTTAACAGGTGGTTATTTTGATGTTCAAAAGGACCAGAGGACCTTATATGAGTGATCAGAAAAATCATAGAACCTACTCGTAAGTCCATTCGGGTGGTTGGGAAGAGCTAGTTTGCACAGGGGATGAGTTCTTTATTGATGGTGAGACCCACTTGTTCAACACACCTGTTACATATACAATAGGTGGACGCGTGGAAGGCAGCCAGTGTTTTTCTTCCCCGATTCATCATTTATGCAAGAAAGTCTAGGAAATTTGCCAACATTTTGATGCTATATCTTTCCAAAAAAATGTAAGAAGTATAGAAATGGCCCAGTTCCTGTTCTAAATGGTTTTAACATTTAGTAACTTATCCTCCTGGATTTAAATATTGGGAAATCCATCTTGGATGATATGATGGCAATTACTGGTATGCATTTTACCCCCTAAATGTGCTCACCTCAGCTCCATGGATGAATGAATATTCATAAGGCAGAGTAGGAATTCTTTTTTTTTTTAAATGGAGTATAGTTGACTTAAAATATTGTGTTTCAGGTGTACAGCAAAGTGATTCTGTTATACATATATCCACTCTTTTTAAAATTCTTTTCCCATATAGGCCATTACAGAGTACTGAGTAGAGTTTCCTGTGCTATACAGTAGGTCTTTATTAGTCGTCTATTTTATATCATATGATATTGCTTATATGTAGAAATTCTTGTTTTATGGTTTGGAGTGGACGTGGTAGTGGCTGGATACTGGCTGGGGAAGATTTTGTTTTGGTTTTCTTTTCCTTTTAAAAAGATTCTCGGGACTTCCCTTGTGGCGCAGTGGTTAAGAATCCACCTGCCAGTGCAGGGGACATGGGTTCGATCCCTGGTCCGGGAAGATCCCACATGCCATGGAGCAACAAAGCCTGTGCGCCACAACTACTGAGCCTGCGCTCTAGAGTGCCCGTGAGCCACAACTACTGAAGCCCACAGGCCTAGAGCCTGTGCTCCGCAGCGAGAGAAGCCACCACAGTGAGAAACCCGCACACCGCAATGAAGCGTAGCCTCCTGCAACTAGAGAAAGTCTGTGTGCAGCAAAGAAGACCCAACACAGCCAAAAAAAAATTAAAAATATAAAAAGATTCTCTTTGGGATTTGTTAGAATTCATGTTAAAAATGCCTGATTTCAGTGAAAATTGCCTGTAGAGGAAGCTGTTGTACCCTACGTCTTTCAGGTGGACTGTTCAATGCATATAACTAAGGTGAGAAGTCAGAATTGAGGGACAAAGACCTTTTAAGTGGCATTTTCTAATAAGGGACCAACTCAAATACCATCAAAATCACAAAGAAGGTGGATAAACCTGCATGATCAAATCGCACATTATCTTGGAAACTAGGACAAGACAGTAGGATTGATAGTGGCTTTTTATACTCTATTGACTGAGAACCTTCATATCTAGTACATTTTCTGTAATTTATTGACTTCTTTACAAGGTTGGATATTGTCACAGTTTCAGAAGGTCAAAATAAGGCAGAAAGTTTCTGTTAATCATTAATGGTATTCAGTGGGACTGAAGATTAGGGCACAGGGAAAAAATTTAGGGTAGAGCTGTCTTCCTGTAGTGAGAAGAGGTAGTATTAGGATGTCAGTGGAGTTTTATGTTGCTCCTGGGTAGAACTGGGGAAAATGGCTGGCAGTAGATTTTAGTTCAGTGTGAAAGAACTTTATAACTGTGGCTAATTAATAACTGAAATGATGAACAGCTTTTTTTTTTTTTTTTGCGGTACGCGGGCCTCTCACTGCTGTGGCCTCTCCCGTTGCGGAGCGCAGGCTCAGCGGCCATGGCTCACGGACCCAGCCGCTCTGCGGCATGTGGGATCTTCCCGGACCGGGGCACGAACCCGTGTCCCCTGCATTGGCAGGCGGACTCTCAACCACTGCGCCACCAGGGAAGCCCTGAACAGCTTTTTGAAGTGAGTTTGTTTTGTCCTTAAAATATTCAAATGGAGTTTAAATAACGGTATGTATTAGATTCCTGAATTTAGTACACAGTCATGATCTTTGAGATCACTTCTAAAAGCTTACAAAATCACCCCTTTTAGAAACAGTAAGAAATTATACAGAATCTTTTTTCTCCCAAAGCTTATGGTTTCAAGCCACAAAAAAATACTCAAATAAGAACTCCTTTGTTCTTAATGCAAAGGAAATAACTTTGCTTAATAAACTCTCCCTATAAAACTGCAGAGGTCACTTTTGTTTTATTGTCACCATGCAAAATGAGAGCCTGCATTCAATGGGGGCACCTCTGAACATTTAAAAAAATATTTTGTTTCTAACTTTCCAGATTTCTCACTTCATTAAGAAAGTAGAGTTTCATTCAGTGTGCTGAGAACGTGAGTGCATGTGAATATAGTATAAGTGGAGACTACAGTTTATCTCCTGATTTAATTAAAGCTATTTAAACAACTGAGATTGCACAGAAACACATTGGAATCCATGGGTGTTATGTACTGCTTTAGTTAGAATGCAGTGACAGAAAACTGGGAAACTAGATCAACTACACAAGACTTAAAATGGTTTTGGAACCATTTTTGCTGGAATATTCAGTCTTGGGCAAAACAGAAGCAAGGGAAAAAGCCCAAATAGGCATTGAAGAAATTCAGAATTAAAATATGAGGGTAAAACTGCTCTTACAAAAGTAACCTGTGGAGGAAGCCGTTGCACCATGTATTTTTCAGGTGGATTACTTGAAATATTTCTGATTAAAAAAAATTCATCTATTCATTTATTCAAAGAGAAGACCTGGAGCTGAACTGGTTAAGCGAGTATGTTAATCACTTTCTCATCTTCCAAACGTAACAAATACTGAACTTAATTTGCCATGAGATTGTTCTAAATCAAATCCCTATTCCATGGAGTATTGCTTAATGTTTTCACACCAGTTGAGCTCACTTTCATTTATATAATTAAATCCTATATCAAATGAATTGTAAATGACTTACTCTGTTCTTTAATGTGCCATGTGGTTATGAAGAGGGCAATCTGGACTTTGATACGGCACTAGTAAATATTGGCATAATCCTAGTGACACTGGCGAAATCATTTTCACATTGTGACCCCTAAACACTCAATGTTTACAAATGTCGTTAACAGAATTGTTGCTTTTTGCAATAGCATGTCCCTTTTCTGTCTGTATTGTGAAACATTCTGGTAAGTTGTGCCTAACTCTGGACTTTTGAAAACATTTGGTTTACTTTCGGGAAATCTTTACTGCTTCATGCATCGCTCCTCTCCCAACACAGCTGACGATACTCATTCATACATGCAACGGACATGTCTTGAAGACTTACTCTGTGCCAGGCGTTGGGTTCAGTATTGAATATACAATAAAGAGCAAAATCGACATATCCTTGCCCTTATGGAACTTTTAATCTAGTGGGGATAGACAATATGATACTCATTGTTATAGTACAAACTTTACTAAAAATGGTATTTTGAATGCTTTAACTATTGTTATAATCATTCTCTAAAACGAGTTTGGTCCTCTAGAAAAGCTGTTTGTATACCGGGAGCAATGGTTGGAGCCTATATATGCTGTGTTGAATAAAAACGCTTATATAGGATGCTAGGAACTGTCTTACGTTGCTATTTTCCTATTCTGGAGAATCATGGGCTTTCAGAACTGTTGGGCATTTATATTTTTGAAATTTTATTCCTTTGACATTTTTATTTCCATTCTGCACTGACAGACTCATCTATGTCAGAAAAGGTCAGTGTATTAGTGCGTTTTTTTTTTTAACTTAAAGAATATGGTTTGTAGTATTCGTTCAAACTAGGTGGGCTACATATTCAGAGTAGTGGTTTTAGTTGAGAAATTAAATATTGTTGGGCTGGTTTAGGAAGTTGCCCTGATTATTGGAACTAAAGAAAACTGCCGATATGTCATTAAAAACATTGTCAACGAAGAAGTGGTATTCAAATTAGTACTTTTATTTCATTTTTCAGGCTTTTTGGGTCTCATTTCCGTTGACATTTTAAATCACTATTAAATAAAGCATTGATCTGGTTTCATATTGATGTTTGCAAGCAGGGGTGCAGTTTTGAGCTTAAGTCAATAGAAAGTAAACTTAGAGTTCTGCATGACATCTATAGATTAACTATCTAGAGGAAATTAACTGTACCTCTTAGGATGCCATCAGTGGAACATTTCACATGTTGAAAATTCAAAATCAGTAGAAGATATAGGGGCAATGGGTCAGTTGCCCCAATACTAAAATTGCCATAGAGGATGGCCTCATAGACTCACTCAAATTTGATGCCTTTGGTTTCAACACGGGTGGTAGCCCATCTAGGTGCTACACTCACCAAAGTCCCAGAGGAGGCATTCTTCCTCCACACATCTCATTCCACCTCGCTTTTCCTTCACAAGTTGAGCACCTGTCATCAACAAATGCTTTTGCAGAGGTGAAGATAAAGGAGCAAGTTTCCCTCTCCAACCTTTTGCATGAGTGAGGGTGGTGTCTTTGGTATCCTGAATTGGAAACTTAGAATGCATTACAGGGCTTAGTTTTTAAAACAATATAAGAACAAATAACATGATAAAGCACATACAAGAAACTTGAAAGCCACCAATACTTAAGGAACTGAGATCTGATATTAGAGATAAGAATAAGAATACAACACCAATAGCAGCAGTAGTGATCATTGCCATGGAAGAGATTGAAACAAAGCATATGAACCCATGGAATGGAAGAGAGTTTTTAGAAAACCTCATGAAAGGAACTATTACTTGAAGTGGACCATGAATGATGGGCAGGATTTTAACAGGAATAAGTGAATTGGGAGAGGAATTTTAAGTGGAGAGAACATGAAGAAATATCTGAAGTTAGAAAATCTCCAGTCATATCTGGAGAATGAGTAATCCAATAAAACTGAAGCAGTGGAATTAAATACTAGAAAACTGGATCACCAAAGTTTTACTTACTTTTTAAGGTAATGGGGTATCTATTGAAATACATTCATGGAGAGAAATGACCAACTCAGAGCTGTACTCAAGGAAGAGTAACCTTGGGATCTAAGCGAAATAGTACCTTGTTATTAAGGCTGTTCTGTGAAATATGTTAGTCTATGTAAAAATGCCTAGCACATCTCCTGCCTAACGTGGTAAAAACACAGTGAATGTTAGCACCTCTCTTATAGTAAAATCCAGTGATGATACCTATATGCCCTTGTGATAAGGATCCCATGTGGCTTGCTCCGGTCCTTCTCTCAGATGGTAGGCTAAATTACTTTCTGGTCAGAAGGAAATGGAAGAGAATAGAAAACTCCCAGGAAGCATGGAAATGAGTTAACATGTACCCCAGTTATCTCCTGGCCAATTCTCCCTGGATCTGACCAATGAGATTATAGCCTATCAACAGTGAGATGCTTTCACTCAATGATCCTTTCCTTGGGGAAGTCCCAGCCTGTCACAGAACCCAGAAACCTACAGTATTAGGTTTCTATTGCTACTGTAACACATTACCACAAATTCAGTGGCTTAAACTTACTGCTTTACATTTCTACTGGGTAGACTGACACAGGTCTCACTGGGCTAAAATCAAGGTGTCAGCAGGATTGTGTTCTCTCTGGATGCTCTAGGGGAGAATCCACTTCCTTGCCTACTCCAACTTCTAGAGGTGGCCTAGGATTCTACTCCTTCCTCCATCTTCAAAGGTGGCAACTTTGTGTCTCTTTGTGCCTTTTCTCTTTAGTGACATCATCCTCTGACTGATTCTGTTTTGCTCCCTTTTTTTGATTACTTTGGCCTCACTCAGATAATCCAGCATTGTTTTTCTACTTTAAGTTCTGCTGACTAGCAACCTTTATTCTGTCTGAAACCTTAATTCCCCTTTGTGATGTGAGCTAACCTCTTAGCCCGTTCCAGGCATTAGAATGTCAACATTTTTGGAGGATGCTCATTCTGCCTAACATACACATTACTATTTAAGCCTGAGGTTGTACCCACCGTCACATGACTCCAAATAGAGACCAGAATTGGGGTGGGTTTGTATCAGACAGCCTGATAGCTAGAATCCCACCAGTCAGCTATACATGTTCACCCCTAGCATTTCATTTACCTTCCCAACAGTGATCCTAATTTTTATGTATTTCATTTTTGGCCTCTACTTACCAGGTTATGTCAGGTTTTGCATTGTGTTTTAGTATGAATTGATTGGGGAAGGGATGGGATGTAGGGATTTTGTTAGGGAAGCCACTACAATAGCTGGGTGAAGGTTAATAAGGGCCTGCACAAGGACAGTATAAGAAAGTGGAAATGTAGTAGAAAAGAGCCAGTGTTCCCAGGATTTGAGAACTAGATCTATGCAGGGGGTAAAGGAGACAGACAAAAGGACCACTGAGGAGTTTCGGTACAAGGCTGACATATTTTAGGGCTGAAATTTATAGAATATAGAAATGATTGGATACTGATAACAAAAGTGTATAAAATAAAATCCAACAGTGCTCTACAGGATTGAACATAAATGATTTAGAGGTGATAGTGCCAGGAAAACAGGAAGTTAGAAGACAGAGCTAGTTTCGTGGAATAGGGATGAACTGGGATTTGGATCAGCTGTGGATGACCATGGTGGACAGAATGAATTTCACTTACTTCCCCCTAAATTGGTGTCAATGATTGGCTCTCTCTTACACTTATTCTAAGATTAGTGAAAGTATTTCAGGTATGTGTCTCATGAGAGGCAGCAAAGCAGTGATTTTGGGTGACTGTAAACCCAGTGAATTGATGTAAGATTATGATCCTGACACTTAACTAGCTCAGTTACTTTGGATAAGTTACTTAACCCCTCTTTTCCTCAGTTTTCCCCATTTATAAAATGGGGATAATAGTACTGAGCTCATCATGGTGTTGAAAGGATGAAATAAATCTATCTGAAAGATTTTAAACATGGTAACATATTGTAAATAAACTATTAGCTATTTTATTCAATGGATAAAATCTAGTGCCAATGCTTCACAGTGGATACTATATATAAAATTTATAATGAAAATAACAAAAGACTTAAAGTTTACTCCTTCTAGGATATATATTATGTGTCCTAGTTGATATTTAATTTTCCTTAAATACTCAAAACTACCTTATGAGGTAGGTACTCTAATAACCTTAGTTTTGTGATTTTACACACAAAAAACTGCTACACATGATATATGGCAAGTAGTGTTCTAAAACTGAGAATTCCAGCAAGGAACAAAAAGTCCTTGATTTTATGGAGCTTACATTCTACATCTTACTTTCATTACAATAAACAAATGAACAGCTGGTAATAAGGTGATGAGTGCTAAAAATAAAAGCAAAATAAAACAACAAAAACAGGGTAAGAGAATAGAGAAAAATGGAGTAGTAGGTGCTATTTGAGGTAGATTGGTCAGGGAAGTCTTCTCTATATGTGAACTTGGAGCAGACAGAGGGGATCCATGTTCTAAGATGAGTGAGGTGCTAAGGCAGATCCCTGGGGTGCAGAATACAGAGAGTGGGAGCTAGTGGAGGCCAGTGTGGCTGAAACAGAGTGAACTGGGGGAAATAGAGAGGGGGTAGCAGTGGGCAGAATAAAGAAGTTAAGTGACCATAGACACTAGGGGGAGGGTAATCAGTTCATTTTAAGGATTTCTTCATCTTCTTTCTGTATAGATCAACCTTGTGGCCTGTTAAAGTATGCTTACTCATCCCCATACCCCATATATGATGGTGAATTCATACTGGCATTGCACCTCATAGCAATGAAGCATAATTTTGCTATTAGGTTAACATGGCTTTTTTTTTTTTTTTTTTTTTTTTTTGCGGTACGCGGGCCTCTCACTGTTGTGGCCTCTCCCGCTGCGGAGCACAGGCTCCGGACACGCAGGCTCGGCGGCCATGGCTCACGGGCCTAGCCGCTCCATGGCATGTAGGATCTTTCCGGACCGGGGCACGAACCTGTGTCCCCTGCATCGGCGGGCGGACTCTCAACCACTGCGCCACCAGGGAAGCCCTAACATTGGTTTTTGTTTTTTTTTTAACATCGTTATTGGGGTATAATTGCTTTACAATGGTGTGTTAGTTTCTGCTTTATAACAAAGTGAATCAGTTATACATATACATATGTTCCCATATCTCTTCCCTCTTGCGTCTCCGTCCCTCCCACCCACCCTCCCTATCCCACCCCTCCAGGCGGTCACAGAGCACCGAGCCGATATCCCTGTGC